ATTCACTCACTTCTTTTTGAATTACAAAATGACACCGAAATGGTACAGCAACATTGAAGGAACTGAGAAAGCACTTGTTTGTCGTTAACATTGGACAATCTTCATGAAACAGAATCATTCCGTATGCCTAGTCAAGACGCGCAAATCATATGAAATTTTTAAAGAACGAAGTCACTAGTGGTTGCGATGTTTCTCTCTCCTTCAGTTTCAACGGCAGTGAAGTTCCCACTTGTTTGCAATTCTTTTTATCCTTTCTTTTCACGCTTTAAACCGTTCCAGAAAAAAGTTACATTTGAATAACAATAATAATAATAATAATAATAATAATAATAATAATACACCAACAAGAATAAGAATTCGGGGATTTATAAGTGAATATGTACACATGTGAGCGTTAGAGCATAAACAACATTTACTTGTTTCCTTCATGTAAACATTCGTAAAAATCACCTCGGGAAACATGCTGTTGCCTATCTTCGATGTTTTTTTTCTTTGCTTCCTGCTTCTAAGCACTTACTACTTAAAACTCTTTTCTCGTTTACACCAAAAGAAAAAGAGAGATTTTAATAGTGAAGACATTAGCTAAATTTCTGATTCACTATTGTCTATGCAATAGCGTCTCGTTGATCAGATGACAACAAAAAATGACTGACAGAATGAACGGAAATAACTGTGATTGACTATGCTTACTGGACTTAACGAGTAATTAATTAGGCCAATGGAACTGTCGACTGTGGAGCGGCAACAATAGCAGCAGCAGCAACAGCAAAACACCAGAAATCGACAGGACCGGCTAATTGACTGGCTGACTGGCTGACTGTCTAATTGTAAGAACCGTGGTACTGCTGCAGTTACACTGTTGCAAAAGGGTTTATTTCTTCTCTGACTGTTGTCTTTAGTTTACCGGTCTCTACAGTCTTCTAAACTGTTCTCATCGTCTTTTCGGCATGTTTTTATTATAGTTTTGTTTCTATTTCTTTCTCTAAAATTCTTTTTTTCTTTTTTTGTCCTACTCAAACATGCATTTTATGTAAAGTTTATTTTTCTTTGTTTTGCATTCTGTTGATATCAAATTCACTCATCAAAAGTCATACTATTTTTTGTCCTTAATATTGTTATTGTTGCCGTACTTTAGCTCACTGTTTTCACTATACTCTCATACTGTCTCTAATCTTAAGGTCTTTTTTCTTCATTTGCTTGCTTGACTTTGATTATAGTGGGCTTTGAAAACTGCTGAATCTGCGGTACCGATATTGGTGCTACTGTCGTTGCCGATGCTAACGACGCTGATGATGATGATGATCCTAGTTAACTTGTGTTTGAGTACCAACAATCGGTAGAGTCGGCAGCATTGGTAGCGGCAGCAACAGCAGCAGCTACTATCGTCGTCGTTTGGCATTTCAAAAGCGCATTCGATGTGTAACAAATAGATGAACTTTTGGGAAAAGAAGCCGTTGGTTGCGTGCATTTACTAGGCAAATGGAATCTTTTCAGCTATTTTTTT